AAGTTGGCAAGGAATCTCGAAGCTTCGACTAACTTCGCGAATATTCCTCCATTTTGTTCGACTAAACTATACCGGGAATGAAAAATCCTGAATTTTTTAGTAACGAGCAGACCAGATTACAATTGTGCCATTTCGTGGACTTGAACGATAGAAAACGATATTTGGATCGAGTTGGCAAGGAATCTCGACGCTTTGAATAGCCACGAGAATATTCCTCCATTTTGTTTAACTAAACTACACCGTGAACGAAGAATCTCAAAATTTTTAGTAACCTCGCAATTATCGCTCTATCCAGTTTCGCAGACTCGCGCCAGGCGAAAGGAAGCTTGGTCCAAGGGCCGAAAAAACCGCGTAAGTTTCGAGCAACCTCTCAATTATTTCGCCATTCCATTTCGCAGTCTGCCGCCACGCGAAACTAGTTCAAATTACACTCGAGGCGCCAAGAAAGCCCGAGATCCTCGTAGCTATTCCTCTATCTCGCGCCACGGATTCGCGCGGCCCGAAACGACCGGTCGAAACTATATTCGAGGCGCCAAGAATCCCCGAAATTTTAAGTACCCCCGCAGCTATACGGCCGCCATATTTCACGCGGACCGTGCGACGCGAGGCGGCTAATTCGAACTGCGCTGCGACCGCCAAGAATCCCCTACTCGAGCCTCCACACATCGCGGGTACGCGACCTCGCGGTTGGAAATCGCTGGGCCCGTGGCCTCCGCTGGGATAAAAATATTCGAAAATTGAGATGTACGCGCGGAAATGCTTCACGGTGGATTCTCGACGCGTGTTCGCGTGATCGCGACGCGAATCGATAGAGAAAACACGCGCGTATGCACGCATCTCGGGGGCTCGTGCGGGGAACGCGTGGACCGGCAGCAACGAGCCACGGGAGAGACGAGGAGAAAGAGAAGGAGAGAAGCAAATGGTACCGTAAGGCATCTCGAAATCGTTTCACCGGATCAAAATTTCAGGGACTCGAGTGGCCACGAAACCCCAGAGGAAATTATTTCTCGAAGGCCACTTACCGAGGCGCTCACGAAGAAGTAATCGGACAGAAAATACGGAGCCGCGGACCGATAATGGCTGGTCGTGAACACCGCGGCCCCCGGGCTCCGTCTATCCGTCTCTCTCTCTCTTTTCTTCTCTCCTCTTTCTCCCCCTTTGCCCCCTTGCCATGGCCAGAAACAACAACGGACTCCGTACGCAACTGCAAGGATCCTTTATCGACCGTCCCTGGCTTCTCGTTCGATCCCGAGCACCCGGCTACTTTTGATCACTTTCTCACGTTGCGAACCCGGAACGCCAGTCGAACGGGAAACCGCTGATTACAGGAATTAAAGCGCGAATCGGAGCTCGAGTCGCGCGAAAAATTATAATTAAACGCGCTTAAAACGCGGTCCCCGTTAGGCGATTCGATGGGCCTCTTCGACGGGTTTTAACTCCTCGCGATTATACGACTGGCTCTTACGATCGGTATTCGGTGATTTCAACGGCGAGTGCTCGGGACGAGACGCGGGGACGAGGATCTGGAAGAATCCCGGGGAATCGTCTCGCTGGGACCAAGATGGTGGACGGTCTCGTTCCACCGCGCTGCTAAAGGATCCTTCGCCGCGTGTTCCTCGTTGTGACGTAATTAAACCCGCTAAAAGGGGATCGACGACAGGCATCGGGACGTTTCCCCGTCGATAGAATGACTCTGGACTCGCGAGTTACAACGTCGCGATAAAGACGAGGGGGACAGGATGGATTAAAACCGACAATGAGAAGCGGACGAGTCGGGGGTCCAATTAACCCTTCCAGGACGACATCTGGGGGGGGGGATCGGATGGACTCGTGACATCCGACTTTGCATAGGAAAATGTCGCGAAGATTATTTCCTGCCATCCGGATTACAAAAACAATAAAGGGTACGCGAAATAAATAGAAAAATATACCGATTTCTCAAATTGGATAGGTTTGAGGAGATGTATGATCCCTGTGGAGTTGGGAAGGATCATGCTCGCGGATATTTATCGTAGTATAGGTAGCTGTCATGAAAAATGAAGGAAGGCTGGGAAACAGACGCGAAAAAGCGAGGGAAAGCTAGGGAAAGCGAGCGTTTGCTGGCAGAGATCGATCTCGATCGGTAGAATTCGTTGTACCGTCGATCCGTTCCAGTTGGCCAATAGCCGACCGCCCTGTCCGCTCGTCTAACCTTTAAGCTCGGTGGAATCGGTCTGGAGCACGCGTTTCGCAGGTATTCACGCAATCAGCCTCCACTTCCGCGATAGTCGTAACTCGTAGAAACGATCTCGGTAGAGGGCCGCGGCGAGAAACGCTGTAAAAGGTCAAATTCCTGCGATTCGAGGCTCTCCTCGTCAAATTACGAGCCACGAGACGAAGAACCGTGCGACCGAGGGGCAAAGAAAGGTTGGATTGCGTATGCATTCGTTATTTGCGGTTATACGGGGGACAACAGCGAGAAGCGGAGAGACAGAGGGAGAGCGCAGAGAGAGAGAGAGAGAGAGAGAGGGAGAGAGGCCCGGGAGGACGGCGGAAAGCAGCGCGGAAGGCGGGACAGAGAGGCAGAGAGCCGGGGAATAAACCGATACAGAGATACCGCATCCAGGCGAAAGCCGACAAGCCAACAACTCTCGAAAGGGCCTGTGCTGTTGGGGTGCCGCGAGAAGACGGCTGGAATGCACCGAGAACAGGTCGCAAGGCTGCCGACATTCCGAAATTTGCAACGGCCTCGGCACGGGGAACGTGTCCCATTGTACGTGAACAAAATTGCCCCGGCCTCTGGGCGAAAAGAGGGTAAAAAGACCGAAAAGTGAGAAAAAAGCGAGGAAAAGGGGGGAATAGTAGGTTCTTCCACCCTGGAAGAAGCTCGCGAATTTCGCCAAGTGAAATTTCACCCCTGCCATCCCCGAGCTTGACTTATTCTAGGTTAGCTTTCGCTGACGCCCAGTGACTTGGACGGGATTCAACAACCACCGGAAGACGCTCGAGGAGTCACCCGGTACTCCCGTGCCACTGGTCGCTGGTTCTATATAGCAGAAGCTACTGCAGATCGAGATTACGTAACTGTGGCTGCTGGGTCGCCAGGTTGGTTAGTTTGGACGGCTAGTTTATGGTTATGTTCGCTCTCGAGCTGGAGCGGAGCTATCTTTAAATGGAATATCTATAAAACGGAGCTATCTACGAACGTTGGATAGTTCCTAAAGAGTTTACTGGCCAGAGATCGGTGCGAAATAATAGATACACGCGGTATTAGACGCGTACAGCGCGGAGAGTGTAGTTGCCGAGGGTATCGAGGTGAAATATTTCGATTTCCCGAATCACGATACATCAAATCGGCAGCAGGCTCGGCCGGCCGCGGCATAAATGAAATAAATTATCCGCCTGACATCGATACAAAGCACGGTAAATATTTCCCAACGGAAACATCTGAAGGCAAAATCAATATCCACCGCGTGTAACGCGACGTGCAATTTTCTCGGCGTCATTAGCGGAAACCAGAAACGCCGCTCGTCATTCATCGCGTCTACTATATGTATACGTTTCGCGTAACCGCAAAAAGCCTCTACCTATTCAAAGCCTCCCCTGTCTTCCTTTTTCCTCTTCCTTTTTTCCATTTTTTTCCTCCTTTTTTCTGCGTACGTGTATATATATCTTTTTGTTCGTCTTCCTCGGCCTCGTTCGGAATCGATACCGACGCAAAAGCTGGCAGAAACACGCGAGAGGATAGAGAACGGATAATCGCGGGGAATCCGAGGAACTCGAGAGCCAGACGAGACAAAGAATACAATAATGTTCGTCTTATCGAGCGGACTTTAAACGGAGAACCGTTTCGCGATATTAACATACACGTATACGTGTTCAGGCGCTGCCATTTCGACGGTACCGTACGATCCGCAGCGTGAATTGATTTTTAACGCTTTTATTTTGCAGCCCACCCCCACCCCTACCCCTGGGGGCCCCGCTTTTACGAGGCAATTTTGCTCATCGACGAGCGCGCCGGGGCCCGTTGTAAATAAAAACCACGGCAGAAGGAAGAAAACCGTACTATAAAGATTCCTCTTCTTCTTCTTTTAACCGTCCCCTAACCTGTACCGCGTGCCACGTATTTATGTCCCGGGCCCCGTGGCGATGCTACTTTTTCGCGCATTCGTTTGTAAATTACTATTACGATTCAATCGGAACGGGCAGGGGACGCTAGAAGCGAGCGAGAGGTTAGCCTTGAGGTTCGGGAAAATCTTATTTCCGAACAAAAATGTCCGAGCGTCACGCTGCATCGGAGAAAACGACGCGACATTCGTCCTTCGCCCTATTTAAGAGATACGCGCCGAACGAGCGCCACCGATTGGTCGAGATTGACCTTGAAAAACCCTCCACGCCTGCGCAAATAGCGATTATTTTCGTCCGTCTCTGTCATCCGCCGATGTCGCTCGCGTTCCATTTTTTTCCCCGTTTAATACTGCGTCGAAATTTCGATATTACGAGCAACGAGTGCGACTCGTGCCTCGTGCTATGGTCACGATGCGCGATACAGGCTCGAATCCCTGGATAATCGCTGGATAATCGCAGGCGGAATCACGACGAACGAACCGCTATCAGCGCGACGAAAGTTGAAAAGAGACGCGTATACGTCTGGCTGAAAACCGTTGGTTCGTTCCGCGGACTAATCGCGTTCACCGTGCACGCTCATCTTACATAACATCGACGTCTCGACAGGACCTTCGTCCTTCTGCCCGGTCCCGATCACGGCAAGGAATTCGAGGGCGAGCAAGAAAGAGAAAATGCCGGACCGCGATGGACCGAGTACGCACGCGTGAGACGGACCGAGACGGAGATAGATACGCAACGAAGGATAGAAAGAGACGGAGAAGAAAGATGGAGGGAAAGA